CAGTTCAAAGGTTTCTTCAGTCTAGTCCCTTAAACTGCCGGGGCACAGCAGGATTGCCTTGTTGCTGTTGGTAAAAATCTCCTCAAGGCGTCTCCCCTTGTGCTGGCTAGTGTAGGCTTGTGCCTTACTGGCAGGGTTTGAGCCTTGGAGGTTAGGCAGTGGGCTAGCCTGTGTTGCTGGGTCAGGGAAGTGCCGGACGTCCCTCCCCTAATGCTCTTGTATAGGGTTTCCGAGGAGCGGTTGGTGGGCGTGGACCCCTGACCCTGTAATTCAGGTGACCTTGTAGTGGCACCCCAGCCCTCAGCGGCACGTTGGGGCTCCTGCTGAACCTTCTAAGATAAAAGATAATAATAAAAATAAAGGAGAGTCCCAAATGTGGTTCCCCAGTGGGTGCTCGCTGCAGGAGGTGGGCTACCTGCCCCCGCGCTCCGCGGTTCAGTTGAGCGTGAGCTGAGCTGTTTGCTGGTGCACGCCCGGCAGGCTGAGGGACGTCGCTCGCTTTCGCACCTCTGGCAGTCCCGGGCAGGAGGGGAGCTGCTCGCCTGTGTGCGCACGGCCTGCGGGCCCTGAGAACACACGGGTCAATTCGGCAGGGCAGAAGTGGCTCAGGCAGGCACAGTCCACGCCTGAGGGACGCTGCTCGATTCAGCGGGAGGCAGGGCGCTCGCTTTCGCGTGTCTGGCAGGCCCACGGTATGCGGCTCGGGCAGGCTGGGAGCTGCTCGCCTGTGTGTGTGCACGCCCGGCGGGCCCCGGGAACACACGGGTCAATTGGGCAGGGCAGAAGTGGCTCAGGCAGGCACAGTCCACGCCTGATGACGTCAGACAGTCGCCCCTTCTCTTTTTCTGCAGACTTTTTTGTTTTTCCTTTTCCTCTCCTAAGCTAACTTCCCTCTGTCCACTGTATGTGCAGAAATCCCCCCTTGGGGTAGGTGTCACCAGTGGCTCTCCCTGTTTGAATCTCCCTGCCACTGGAGGCTCCGCACGAGTTGGTTCCTGCCCCACCCCCTCAAACCCAAAGGACCTGGTGCTGCCGCGGCGCCCTTTTAAAAAGCCTGTAATTCCTTGCACAGTGATTTCTCAAAGAAGCGGGTCTAAGGCTCTGGTGCACTAAGATTTACGCGGGCCGTGAGACTGTGAATTCCTACCTGGGAGTTTTAACTTGCGAGTTTCCCCCCGCCTGATCCCGGAGCCCCTACTCACCTGTACCGCCTGGCCGCCCTCACAGAGATCGTTTTGTTGCCTTTTTGTAGCTTTGTCTGGGAGATTTTTTCTCTTGCTTTTATCCAGATCTTTCTTTACTGTCCCCATCTGCCTAGTTTTTTTTACTTTACCCACATTTTCTTGTCAGTGTGGCATTGCCTTGAAGGGAAACCTTATTCATTTTCAAGAATTCATAAGTACTAGACTTTTCCAATCTCTTTCAACTTGACTATAGTGTCCTGATGTAGCACTTTAGGATAAGCACTGGACCACAAGGTCAATTCGGATCAAACGTTGGCAGTTCAAACCCACCAGCCACTCCTCAGAAACCCTACACGGGGTCACTGTGAGTCAGAACAGACTAGATGGCACTTATCAACAATAGGACCCTTGCTTGTAGTACTGCTATTGGATTGGACAACCCCTCCCTCAGTTCTGGCAGCTGTTTTATAATCGGCTTGTCATATATTCTAGTGTATATTTGTTGATTTGCTGGGTCTTTTGTTTTCAGGTTCATCATTCTTTCTCTGTGCTTCTTTCTTACATAGATTCTAATACCATATAGGTCTTGTGGTTTGGGTTTGTACTCCCCTCCTCTTCATCCCCCAGCCCACTAGCACCTCCTCCCAAATGAAAGAAGGAAAAACAACAAACATCTACTTATCTAGTTGATTATGGCTTATAGCAACCCTGTAGGGCAAAGTAAAGTATTCCATAGTGTTTCCAGGGCTGTAAATCTGAATGGAAGCAGACTGGCACATTGCCTTCTGCATAGCAGCTAATGGGTTCAAACCCACCTTTTGGTTATCATCAGAGTGCTTTAACCATGGTGCCACCAGGCCTCCCCAGATGTGTGTCTTTTTGGGTTTGTAGCTGAGAGATGCTGTGGGTTAGGCATGAGGCTGCTAACCACAAGTTCAGACCCACCAGCCACTCAGGGGAGGGAGATGAGATTGCCCGTTCTCATAAAGATTTAGTCTCAGAAACAGTGTGGGAATCAGCTTGATGGTAGTGGACTTAGTTTTGGTTTTGGAGGGAATATTTTATTACCTGATTTTATTGTAAATGCTTCCATGGAACTTTGGATTTACTATCTAGTTGTAGTTGCTGTTTTTATATGGAAATCAGGGAGATGAAAATGTCTCACTGCCACATTGACATCCTCTCAGAAAGGGATCTCACCTGGAAGTCAGAAGGAGTGGAATAGAAGAGCTGATGAATGGTCATCTCAGTGATCACTATTTAAAAATAGAAGAGATGGAGCAAGGTAGTGAGTGGGAGAGCCTATCAGTTTTTATTTCTTAGAGTTGAAATGCTTATGATCTACCCTAAAAAACATGTATTCTTAAGAAATATGCCTCTTGAGTTTGATAGATCTAAGTGATGAAACATCAGTAACTTGAAATTAAGTCAAGCCATCATTAGTAGGAGAATTAATTGTTTTTAGTAAAAATTACAGTGTGGAAAACCAGTAGAAAATGAGAGACAGTAATAAACAATAGTGGATTTGAAAATTTTTGTAATTTTCATAAACATGCCAACACATGCCCATTTGTATTTGTTGTTGTTGTTAAGTGCCATCGAGTCGGTTCCAACCCATAGGACCCTGTACAGGGTTTCCGAGGGTGTAAATCTTTACGGGAGTAGAAACCTCATCTTTCTCCCGCGGAGCGGCTGGTAGTTTTGAACCGCTGACCTTAAGGTTCGCAGCCCGATTCGTAACCACTAGGCTACCAGAGCTCCTTGGACACCCTATAGAGGGTATTTAGGAGCCATCTAAAAACGTAGGCATTGTAAAGATCCATTTATATGGATGCAGTTGGGGGCCTAGGTTTTAGGCTATTGTTGTTGCTAAGTGCTGTTGAGTATCAGCTTCCAACTCACAATGACCCTTTATAAGGTTTCCAAAGAAAGGCTGGTAAGTTAGAGCTGCTGACCTTGTGATTCACAGTCCAGTGTGGTGTCATAAACTACGAGGCTTCAGAATGTTCGTCAAAAAATGGAGTTAAAAGAGAATGGAATTTTTCCACAACCTTGTTGAAGCCCCCTCATACATTAGCGTTGTTCCAACTCTTCGCGACTCTGCACAACAGAAGGAAACACTGCCCAGTCCTGCACCAATCTCACAATTGTTATGTTTGAACCCATTGTGCAGCCACTGTGTCAGTCCACTTGGTATGTTGGATAGAATACTGAGAAAATGGATTGATAAAATCTCAGTATTTTTCCTACTAGATAAATAAAGATGTATTCATAAACTTTAAGTTTTTATATTATGAGTAGACCACAATATACTGGAATTTTGGTATGGTGTTGTAGGATAAACACTGGACTACTAACTGCAAGGTTGGTGGTTCAAACCCATCAGCTACTCCTTAGAAACACTATACAGGGTTGCTATGAGTCAGAACCAACTTGATGGCATTTAACAGTGAAACAACAATGTACTTACTCAGGTCAAATTCAGAAGAACTTGTGATATTGTTGCTGATGTCAGATGGATCTTGGCTGAAAGCAGAGAATACCAAAAGATATTTACTTGTGCTTTATTGACTATGCAAAGGCTTTCCACTGTGTGACTCATAACAAGTTATAGAAAATATTTTGAAGAATGGGTATTCTAGAACATTTGATTGTGTTCATGAGGAACCTGTACATTAGATCAAGAGGTGATGATTTAAAATCAGGAGAGGTGTGCACCAGGTCTGTATTCTGTCACCATACTTATGCAGTCAGTGTGATGAACAAATAATATGAGAAACTGAATTTTATGAAGAATAGCATGACATTAGGATTGGAGGAAGATTCATGAACAACCTGATTCAACCTTGCCTGCTGGAAGCAAAGAGAAATTCTTTAAAATATCAGGTTTGTAAGTGCTTAACTTTTACTGAGGAAGATAAAAAAAATCACAGCCTTCAGTATGGCTTGCACCTAAATGTAAACAAAACCAAACTTCTCACAACTGGACCAATAAATAACATCATGATAAACAGAAAAGATTGAAGTTGTCAAAGATTTCATTTTGTTTGGATCCGTAATCAATATTCATGGAAGCATGAAATCAAATAACATATTGCTTTAGGCAAATTTGCAAAAATCCTCTTTGTTAAAGAACAAAGGTATTAGTTTGAGGACTAAGATGATCCTTGACCAAAGTTAAGGTATTTTTAATAACTTCTTTTGCCTGTGAAAGCTGGATAATGAGTAAGGAAGACCATAGAAGAATAGATGCATTTGAGTAATGGTGTTAGAAAAGAATATTGACAGTACCTTGGACTGCCAGAAGAACAAAGAGATCTGTGTTGGAAGAAGTACAGCCAGAATGCTTCTTGGAAATCAGGATGGACATATTATCAAGAGGGACCAGTCCCTGGAGAGGGACATTAGGCTTGGTAAGGTGGAGGGTCTGAGAAAGAGAGGAAGACCCCCAGTGAGATGGAATGGCAGCAGCAATAGGCCCAACCCTAGCAACGCAGGACCAGGTAATGTTTTGTTCTATTGTGCATAAGGGCGCTATGAGTTGCAACTAACTCAGTGGCACATAACAACAGCAGCAACAATGCACTATTACAGACCCTCTATTTTAAGAGCAGGTGCAAAAGTCTTCTCTCTTATGATCTAGTCTAGATACTTCTTCATTTCTCTGACCTCAAAGGGGATTTTCAAATAATATATGAGATTTGGGGTACTCCTTTTCTTTGTTAATGTTAAGTATCAATCCTCCAAATTTACTTTTTTTTCCTTCCAAACTTACTTTTAACCTGTGTTTTCTTACTTCTTATTTATAAAAATTAGATCAGTCTTCAGAGACCGGAGATAAAACTTGAGTCGCTAAAAGAAGATATTAAGGAATTCTTTAAAATAACAGGTTTGTGAGCGCTTCATATTTTTTTTTCAATTCTTTAAGGCAAAATAAGAAAATACTTTATTTGGATGGATTCTTTTTATCCCCAGCTTTCCAATTACTTGAAAATTGAAAATTGTGACTATGTGTCTGAATATATGTCTGTTTGGGGAGAATGAGAGCTTTGAGACATTTTAATAAAATAATGCAAAATGTCAGGGAAACAATCGGGAATGACTGTTTCCATTAATCAATTTAAAATACATGTTTACCTTCTTAGTCAAAAATTAGTCTGAATATTTTAAATATCGTATAGGCTAAGTATCTTATGTGTTAAGTGTACTACATGTTAAGTGTAATATAATATGTTAACTAACTTGTGATTTTACTTTTCAATTGTGACTTTTTTCCCCCTCTTTGCTTTCAAAGAAAACAAGAGACAATCTCATTTTTTAGAGTGAGAAGAAATCTATAGGTTTCCTTGTAACCTATGCATACATTGATTGTGGAAGAGGAAAGTTTTCTTCCATCTTGGGAAAATGGTATAACAATTTTACTTAAGAAAGACGAAAGACTATTATGTTGAAGACTTTCCTACTTAGTGTTAGCTGAGAGATATGGTAAATAATTCCTTATGAATACTTAAACAGGACTCCTGGTGGCACTGCAGGATCACCACTGGACTGGGAGCCACAAGATCAGCAGTTCAAACCCACCAGCTGCTCCTTGGAAACCCTTTAGAGGGTCGCCATGAGTCATTACAGACTCGACGGCACTTAACAACAACAACACTTATACAGTGTTTGGCAGCTGACAGAGTACTTTGCAAATGAATTTGGTGTCAAACTTTTGTGATATAAATTTAGTTATAATGTGTGTTTATTTTTTAAACTAATGTCTTTGTATATTTTATTGTTTTTAAAAAACAGGCTGGGAGAAGAAACTTCAGAATGCTGTTTATAGTGAACTGAGTGTGTGAGTGTTTCCCACTTATTTTGAGATACTGTTATGATTAATTGTGTTTACATTATAAGAAATTTATTATTGTTATGTATACATATTGTATTACTAGTTTTATTAGTGTTTATATAGTATTTCAAATAAGTAATGCTATTAAAATTTACTACAGTTTTGCTCTGCCTGAGAATCAGTAATGAATAAGTAAGGTTTTTTTGTTTGTTTGTGTTTTTATACCCAAAACTTTTGTATTAGAATTTATTTATCCAGCATCATTAGGGAATGAAGTAATCTCAGAAATTGATATTTCAGATAATTGTAGCTTGCCAATATTCTTTTTATTATTGCCATATTTAGGTATAACTCTCTTCTTGATCTTTATAAACTGTCCATCCTAAATAATTTAACTCTTTTTTTTTCCAAAGTTGATATCATCCTTAAGAACACCAGTGTTTTATTTATGTAGGTTTGACTTCAGGGTTTGTATAGAACTGTTTGCCTTTATAAAGAGTATAGATCCAGATAGTTAACTCTTGGAGTTTCTTCAACATTCAGTTATTCCTCAATTTTTTTATTGCGTACCTACCATGTGCCAGGTGGTGTGTTAGGCACTGGGCACATAGTGTAGACTACAATTCCTGTCCTCATGGAGTTTGTAGTGTAATAGAGTTCGTACGTTTGTTTGTTTGTTTGTTTCCTAGTGTCAATATTTGTGTGTCTGGTTGTCTTGATGTGGCGCTGTAGGAGAAGCACTAGACTGCAAGGTCAATTAGAACTTCAAGATGGCGCATGGTCCAAACTCACCAACCAACAGCTCCTCAGAAACCCTGTACAGGGTCACTAGTGAGTCAGAAATGACTTGACGACACTTGATAACACCAACAAACATGCTCTCTAGTCTTCACAGCCTCTTTTCAAGCTGCCCCTTCTTATCTGCTGTTAACTGATAACTCAGCTTACCAGAACTGTTTCTAAAACAACGACACGCAGATGAATGGGTACTTTTAGACACACATTTTATCATTTTTATTTATTTGTTGCATATCACCACATGTTAAATAATATCAGCTATAAATAATAACGCTATGTAGGGTCACTATGAGTCAGAACTGATTCCACAGCACTTTAACAACAACATCGATTTATTGAGATAACTGTGACCCTACCTTTGGTAGTACTAGTCACTGAAGGCCAAGATACTCATTATGATATATGAGGTTTAAAATTGACAGTATCCTGTAGCGATACCACAGATTGATTAGACTATTATCCGCATGGTGCTGTTCCTTTTTCAGTATTACATAGACAGTTTTTAACTTCAGTGTCTTTGTCTCTGAACTTGATGGAATAAAATCATCTGTTGTGTCTAATTTCAAACACTAGATTCTCATCTCAGGAGTATTTTGTGATCTAATGCATTCATGAAAATGGGTCAGTGAGACAGAGTGTCTTTTTTGTTTGATGGCATGGACCATGTTTTATTGATTGTCATTTCTTTTGTATCCTACACAATAGACTGTAAGTAAATATTTTCTCAAAGAAATTGTTATTTTTGCAAAGGAACCCAATAATACTACTTTCTTTCTCACGTGTATTCCAAGCAAATGGCTAAATTAGATAAAACTCAAAGGCACATAGGAGATTAAAATCACACTTTTACTACTGATTAAAGACTGAAAAGGAACATAGCTTTGTGAGAGAACAATATGAGCCTGTTAAGTAAATGCTAGAATTAAATGGTCAAATAGCGCAGGGTGAGCACATGTTTTCTTAGTTTATGCTTCCCACATCTCCCCTTTGGGGAAGGCAGCAAGACTCCTGGGGTGTAGTAAGTAAAGCTCTGGAGAGAAGCCAAGGATGTTACAGGAATGGAGCTCTTTTCACATGGAAGGGAAGATTCCCTTAACAAATCAAAAGAAGGATGTGGGTCTAGTGTATCCTGTTGGAATTTTCATTGGCAGAAACCTTTAGACGGCTGAGTTAAGGAAGCAAAACAAAGTAGGAATCTTCATTAGGTAATATTTAATAAATGGCACTAGGAAAAACCAAAAAACCAACTCTCCTGCCTAAATGGACATGTAGACACATGAATTATACGGCTTATACCAGAAATAGCTCACTTGCTTAAGTGGGCTCTTCCTCCTTCAGACTGCCTACTTTGTTTAATGATCTCTTCCATTCACTTAAAACTATTGGTTATATATTTATCGTTGTGTTAATAATGATTTGATTTTATATTAATAATTACTTACATTGAATGCTTATTTTGTGCTAGGTACTATGCTAAGTATGTGTATGAATTACCTTATTTAACATAATTGTCATAGTAACCTTATGAAATAAAGTTTATTATTATCAATAATTTACAGAAGAGAAAATTGAGGCTTAGACCACTTAAGTACTTTGCTCAAGATCAGATGGTTAGTAAATGTTGGTGCTAGGGCTAAAATGCCAACTGTCTGATTCCAAAGCCTACATTTATCTGTTTTATTTCTCGATATGTGTTTTGAAGCTAGACTTGTGTTTTTTATTTCTTTTTTGTATCTTCTATGTTATTAAGGAGCCCTGGTAGTGTAGTGGTTACGAGTCAGGCTGCTCATCTCAAGGTCAGCAGTTCAAAACTACCAGGCATTCCTTGGGAGAAAACTGAGGCTTCTGTTCCCATAAAGATTTATAGCCTTGGAAACCCTATTTAGGGTTGCTATGAGTTGGAACTGACTTCACAGCGCACTACCACCACTATGTTGTTGTTAAGTGCTTTTGAGTCTGTTTCTACTCATAGTGACCCTCTATAGGGTGTCCAAGGAGCTCTGGTAGCGTAGTGGTTACGAATCGGGCTGCTAATGTTAAGGTCAGTGGTTCGAAACTACCAGCTACTCCGCGGGAGAAAGATGAGGCTTTATACTCCCGTAAAGCTTTACACCCTTGGAAACCCTGTACAGGGTCGCTATGGGTCGGAACCGACTCGACGGCACTTAACAACAACATAGGGTGTCCAAGGAGTGACTGGTGAGTTTCAATTGCCGAGAAATTCAGTGCTTATCCTCCAGCACTACCCCAGGACTTCATATCTTCCATGGTGGTGGTGGTAGCTGTGTGCCACTAAGTCAGTTCTGACATATAATGAGCCTTTATAGGGTTTCCAAGGCTGTAAATATTTATGGAAGAATAAAGCTTCACCTTTCTTCTGTGGAGCGCCTGGTAGATTCAAACTGCTGACTTTCCTGGTAGCAGCCCAGCTCGTAATCCAGTATGCTACCAGAGCTTCTTCTGTATTTTATATAGCATCAAATAAATAGTATTCAGTTAGCAAATACTTAGTGAGCTACTTCCCACTGTTCGCACATTGTAAACATTTGGCAATTTGACGAAACTCAGTGTATTTATTAATCCTAAATTGACTATAAATATTTAACCAAGATTATCTTTACATACAAAATGAAAAAGACCATGTACTAGTCTTTATTGTACTTTGTATAGAACAATTTATAAAAAATTAGATGGCCTAAACTTTTCCTTTAAGGAACATGAGTTAAAGAGGTAAATAAATATTTTTAAAAATCTTAACCTGTATGTACATATTATAAAAACATATACCATAGTCTAGTTATTAACATATCCAAGTATCTAGCATACTTTAAACATGTATGAGTGTTGAACAGTTGTAGAAGGATTTTAAATGGGAAAAAATTTTTATATATATATAACTATATATAGTATGTTGTTGTTGTTGTTGTTGTTGTTGTTGTTGTTAAGTGCCGTAGAGTTGATTCTGACCCATAGCGACCCTGTATCGGGTTTCCAAGGAGCAGCTGGTGAGCTTGAACCACTGACTTTGCAGTTCAAATGACTTTGCAGTCTGATGCATTATCCCACAGCGCCATACCAGGACTCCATGTATAGTATATATTTCTTTCAGAGTTTTTTGTATGTCATTTCATTGCCTTTTGACCTTCATGCTTTCTGCTGAGAAATCAGAGTTTAGTCTCACCAGTCCTACTTTTAGGTAACTTTTGATTTTTTTTCTGAGGATTCTTTCTTTGTCTTAGGTTTTAAAGTTTAATTATGATATATCTTGGTGATTTTCCTTTGGGTTTGTTCAGCTTCTTACATGCTTACCTTGTCTTTTTTTTTTTTTTTTAATGTTTTATTGTGAATTATGTGATAGTTTATATGGGAGAACATTAGTTTTACATTCATTCTATCGTATATTATTTCACTGCTATGGTTACAATCCCCTCCATGCATCATCAACCAACCAAAGGGTATACACTACAAGCTTGCTCCCCAGTCATCAGTACACAGCCCTTCTCCATCCCTGGGTCTAAAGTCCCCGGATGCTCCATCTCTCTATGTCATCATCTCTGCCTCCATCTCTGGCGTCAATGCTTCTCTGAGTAGGGTTCACTCTCCGCTTTTCTCCCTTGATGGTCCCAGGGACCTCTGCTCCTAGACTGCAAAGTTAATCACTCCCTTCCTTGCAACAAAATGTCTACCTTTACATTTTCAACGCTCACAATCAGTTCTGATAACAATTATTCATTATTTTACCACAAGAGACTTATCCTCATTTCCTTTCATCAGCCCCACCTAGCCAGACTGGATATTACTCATCGAAGATTCTACCTTCTTCCATTCCCTCTAGATCTAGGTTCCCTCTTGAAAGCTTGTAAGTCAGTTACTTCTTGCCTTTGTAGCCCTTCCCCGCCCCACTTTGGGTAGCCAATGTCCAAGTTGCCCATACCTGTCTACTCTGTGTACAAAGTGGGTGGGAATGATCTTCACTGTAAAGAATTTATTCCCTCTTTTGAGCTACTGCATACATAGGTGTAGGTCAAGTTCATCAAATTGCATCAGATTACTCTTTTTTTCCTCTTCTTTCTTCTTCTAGTTGAGCTCTGATCATCCAGTCATTGAAGCCAGGTCAAGTGGGTATTAT